AAATTGACACATTTGCCTATTACATCAATAACCCTACTAATAAAAATTGAAATATTTGCTGCAAAATTGTAACCTTACTTTTTCTGTCGATATACAGGAAACACTTGCATATGATCTTAATTAAGATTGATCGTGCATATTGTGATTGAACAAACACATCTAAGATCGATCGTACATAATTAAGATCGATCATAATATCCATTTTTTTATGTCAATAATTCGAATGTATATCCGTATAGGATCAATCAATATTATGTATGATCGATCCCAATGCCCATTTCCCCCCCTATAGAGGCAATACTCCCCCCAGTAAGATTGTAACAGAAAGAATTGANATCGATCATAATATCCATTTTTTTTATGTCAATAATTCGAATGTATATCCGTATAGGATCAATCAATATTATGTATGATCGATCCCAATGCCCATTTCCCCCCCCCTATAGGGGCAATACTCCCCCCAGTAAGATTGTAACAGAAAGAATTGATCGATCTTGTTAATTTACGATCGATCTTAATTGTCCTTCATGACCGGCTGAACAAGTTATAGGTTTACAGATACAAAAGTTTAAATAAATAAAATCCACATATCAATGACTGTGCACTATTGAGCATAACATCAATGGCTCAGACCGGCTTTCGGTATGGTAGCGATATCCCACCAAGCGGTACCATAGCATCTCCCTGAGCTGTCACAATAAAGCTATAATNTTGTCCTTCATGACCGGCTGAACAAGTTATAGGTTTACAGATACAAAAGTTTAAATAAATAAAATCCACATATCAATGACTGTGCACTAATGAGCATAACATCAATGGCTCACACCGGCTTTCGGTATGGTAGCGATATCCCACCAAGCGGTACCATAGCATCTCCCTGAGCTGTCACAATAAAGCTATAATTGATTGGAAGGAGTAGGCCACCCAGCTTCAAAATTTGTTCAGGCATTGAGGTGGACTGGTTTCTCTGATTGGATGCTTGTTTCAAGCAATATTGTCACTGCTGCCATTGATTTGGGAGCCTGAAGTTGGAAAATTGCTTTGTTCCTCCCTTTTCCCAAATAGTCCACCCAATCTTTTTGTATGACAGGTATATCCGCCGGTGTTTATTTTGTAAAGTAGGGTCTTGATAAACTTTTTCTATAAATCGGGACTTGATTCTCTCATATTTCACACACTTTAAAAGGTGACATTAATAGTTGCTGGTTCAAGAAATTCTTGATTATATCATTGCTTAGTCCTTGAGATAAAATCTTAACTCCCTCTTCAAAAAAAAAAATGTTTGCATAGAACATATTAAATGCTATTTCATGTTACTTTTCTTTTCTCTCTTCCTCTCTAACCTCGCCCTCCCCCTCCCCACACCCCTAACCCAAAAAAAGAGAGGATGGGAAGCATTCAAACAAAACAAAACAAAACAGAAAATAATTGCCATTACTAAATATTCATTAACAAGAAACGCTAGATTCATATTGCCCAAGGCTTCAACGAATATAAAATTGGGAACACAAAACCTGAACTTCTCAACAAGAGAGAGAGAGAGAGAGAGAGAGAGAGAGAACCCAGCATCTTCTAGTTACTCTCATTTTATCAATGAAGCAAACTACCAGTGGAGTAGCAGTTCTTCGTCTTTAGTACATTACACCTTGGAGTCAATTAATGGTACTAGTCTCCCTGTGAATAGTGGAAAGCAACAATCTTGTGGCAACCATGACAATCCTCCATTGCTCCATGGGGATTCCAACACTTTGAGAAAAAGATAGAAGACCACAAGCACTGAGATTGCAAAAGATAGATACACCTCTTCTGTAGATCCAATAACTACCATTCTGTGTTTTTTTGCTGGGTGTGGGTGTGGGTGTGGGTGTGGGGAGAGAGAGGATTAGGCTTCTGGGGATTTGGAGAGAAGGGTCTTATAAGGCAAGGTATGAAAGCAAGTTCAATAGTCTAAGCCAAGAAGATTTTATTTATTTACTTTTTTTTTGGAGGGGTTTGGTTCAAAGATATGGAAGTTCAGGAAGGTGCAATTCAATTCAACGAACCTCATACAAGTGGGTCATACGGGGTTCCATGTTCTTGCCTTCAATCATTCCTCCCCCATTTTCATACATGAATTTGCCCATACAGACACGTTCAATGTACTCTTACGTGGCACTGTTTTACTCCTCAGTTGCAGATGTGGGTCCTCCTCATTTTAGAATATTTCTATCAATCCTGATTAAATTTCAACATCCATCATTAAATCTCGAATCCTATGTAAGATTCCACTGGGGCTCAAGAAAAATTTAAGGTCGGCTTGATAAGATTGATCTAATTTTGATTCAAATTAAATTTGATTGGTTAAATAACATTGATATTTATGACTAATTATTTCAGTTTGAGTTATTATATTGTATTTTACGACTTAATTGAATATATTAATATTTTAACTGAAGATTTCTTATTTATGTATAAATGTATAATGAAATCAAGTTGTTATTGAATAATAGTGAGGCAAATTTAGATGTAAGTTGCGGAAATTTAGGTTTAACTAACTTATTGAATTGAATCGAATGATCGGATTGGGCTGTTTTTGTTTTTGTTACAGGATGTCCAATTTTATNAATATTTTAACTGAAAATTTCTTATTTATGTATAAATGTATAATGAAATCAAGTTGTTATTGAATAATAGTGAGGCAAATTTAGATGTAAGTTGCGGAAATTTAGGTTTAACTAACTTATTGAATTGAATCGAATGATCGGATTGGGCTGTTTTTGTTTTTTGTTACATGATGTCCAGTTTTAAGTTGACTATTCTTTCAAGTTCAGTGTCACCGTGATTTGAGTTGGATTAGAGCATGTCTCTGAATAATAAGAATGACTAAATCTTAGAAGGTATAGGAAAAAATTAAACCTGAGACATGTCTATAATTTACCAAAGGTCAAATTCAATTACCCTAAAGATTGATTGGGCTATTTTTTGTTGCTGATGTTGTTTTGATGCTTTTTGTGTGTTAATCCAATTCTACTTTACTAGACTCAATTCAGTGGGCGTTTGCATGTTTTGATGTTTTTGTGGCCCACACATTATTGACAGAAAATAAATTTCCTTTTTGTTTTCAATTCGCAAAAGAAGCCTATGAAGATGGGGATTGTACTACTTGTCGGATTGTATGGGTTGAAACACAAGTTAAAGTTTTATTTTGTTAATTTTATTTTTGGGATGTGAAGTTGGTTCTACTATTTTTTTTTTTTTTTTTTTTGATCATGGTTCTACTACTTCATCTTCACACCAGATGATGAGTTCAAAATACATAATATAAAATTTAAAATGAATCCTACTTTTAAGGATATGAATAAAATACAAACCGTTAGACACTTGAAAATCAAAGGGCAAATCTAGACACGTGGGACCCACAATGATACTAAGGTGGGTGTTGTAGTGAATGACTTGAACCCATGATACTTGACATTCTTGGGGACACGTGATTCCCTGGCCATTTTGAGACTTTCGTCTAGTTTGAATTTGAAAATAGACTACAATATTTGTGGTATCCTTAGCCCCCAATGAATTACACATTAGTGAGTTATGCATAAACTATCTTGTGTATAGGTTTTTTTTTTATTTTAATGTTATAGGGATCAAATTTTATGACCGAATTAGAGATATAATTCAATGCAACTTGATGATACCAAAAATTAGTTAATGTTATGCTTAGACCACTCAATTCAAATATCTAAGATTGGACCTTGCAGCTCATGATCATTAGTTTGGGATGATTAGATCGAGAATCTTCAACAACGAGACCCTTGTACATGCGATGACAGTGACAACTGCCACCTTTTAGAAAGTCACGTTACTCCTATGGAACGTAACCGTAAGACTAAATATTCTGGCACATTAGTCATAATAGCTTTTAGGGATAGTATGTTGATTACGCTAGAAGGGCATTGGTTACAGACAACTATACATTATAAATAGGGGATAAATCCCTCACAATTGTAATCAAGCAGTCATATGTTCATTTACACTATGTAATCACCTTCCCTCAATTAATAAAGAATTTCCCGAGAGTAAGAGATTTCATTAGAGTGGATAAATCAAGCTTTCTAAGTTGGGGGGAACCATTATAAATCCTTTTTCTATTCACGTTCGTCATTAGTCATCTTATTGAGTCGGTGGCTTAACCCCCGAGAGTCTAGAAACTTTGATCGAACATTTCAGTGATTCTCAAATCCTCAAACAATTCACTTCTACTCATTTGTGCCGAACACATCATCACAACTATTGAATTAGTTGTGAATTCTAACGTTAGATTAAGTTCACTTTTAATCTAACAACTAAAATTAATTAAATCTCTAAATTAAATTTAAATAATATTTTATTTTTTAAAAAACCCGTGGTTCCACCCCTTGCATATTAAACCATCTTAAACCCTTAACTTCATGCCCAAGATTTCCCCATTCACACTCAACTTATTTACCCGTAAAACCAATTTTATTGGACCTAATTTATTACGATCATTAGATTGACGTAGATATTATTAAATATTAAAATTTAATATTAATTTAATAATTATAATGAAATTACATTATTCAATTAATAAATTAATTTAAATTTTTTGATTTAAATAGCGTTTTTCAAAACTTAATAGCATCAAAGGACTCTGAGTAAAAAATAATATTATTTGGATCTAAAAATTTGACCTAATTTGTTGACATAATGATGTGGCTTAATAGAAATTATTGGATCAACACCAAATTTTAATATTTGATAGAACCTACAATCAATTCAAAAATTACAATAAATTAAATTAATAAATTATGTTAAATTTTTAAATCTCAATAACATGGCTACCGTGGAAAACTCGGGATACGTAAACAAAGCCACGTAACGACTTTTCAAACTCAAACTGAATTTGTTGCCGGACATTCTTCCCCATAATTAGCTCTCTCTCTCTCATATTCATCGGGGTTTCCATTCTCCTCCCTCGACCCGTGGGATGTGTACGAGATAAGAGAGAGAAACTAAACCAAATCAAACAATCCCATCCCATGGGGACCTGCATGTCCGTGCAAGGAAATGCAAGCTTTCTGAAACGAACCAAACTCAATCTCAAACCCATCTCACAAGAAAGCACCAATGTCCCCCACACACCCACCACCCTCCCCCCACGATTCTCCCGCCCGATCACCGTCCTAACAGACCCCTCAGGGGACGACATTTTCCGGCGTTATCAATTCGGAAAAGAGCTCGGTAGGGGAGAGTTCGGGATCACGTACCAATGTCTGGACCAAGAAACCGGCGAGTCTGTGGCTTGCAAAAAGATATCGAAGAGCAAGCTGAGGACGGAGATTGACATAGAGGATGTGAGAAGAGAGGTTGAGATCATGAGGCATTTGCCGATGCACCCAAATATTGTGAGGTACAAGGCTGTTTATGAGGATAAAGAAGCTGTTTATCTTGTAATGGAACTTTGTGAGGGTGGTGAATTGTTCGATAGGATTGTGGCCACTGGTCATTATACGGAGAGAGCTGCTGCTCTTGTCACCAAAACCATTGTCGAGGTTGTCAAGGTATTTTCCTAGTTCCACTTTGTCTCATTAATTATTGTGTTTTTAATACTGTCTTCTCAACTACTTTAATCAATTTTACGTTACCCTGAAGTTAAAAGTACGCCATGTTTTGAGAGAAAATATCCACACGTATAGTAAAATACTACAATCCAATGCTTAAAGTTGGCAATGTGTAATGAGGAGCAATAGTTATAAGTGCAATTGAGGGGACAATATAATAATAATTATCATCGTTAGAGGTGTAATGTGAGAAGTGTGATGGTTGAGTCAGCAATGTGTGAGGGGATCAAAGTCTAATTTATACAACTTCCTAATATATTTCTCTTTCTGGTTTTGGGCATTTAAATTTTGAACTAAATATAGTAATGATCAACCAAATGTTAGTTCTATGACAATCTGCTACTTATTATTTAATGTTACCTTTAGTTCTTCTGGTTTTTTTAGTATGTGTCATTTTGATTTAATCGAAAATGATAGTTTAAGTTAACCATAATTAAAGGGATTTGGTTTCTCAATTTTTAATTTGTGTCATTTTAGTCGAAGGTTTTTGCTTGTATCATTTGAGTTGATCATATTTTCAATATGTGTTATTTTGGTCCGCATTCTTTAATTTTTTATTTTGTCAATTGAGAGAACAAAGTGACAAAGTTTAAAGAATACAGATCCATGCATGTGAGACAAATCACGTACTCTATCGAATGCCCATTATTACTGCTTTTCGACCTTAAATTTATATTTTTTTGCTAATTTTCTCCAATGTTTTACATTTTAGCGTGTTCTAAATGAGGGTAATATCGAAGGAAAGTAAATTATTATGTTTACATTACACTTTTAATATATGAAAAATACTATAATATGATACATCTTTTAGCTTTCATTGCTCATTATGTTAATGTTAGTAAGGTGGTTTTTGATAGAATGAGCAACAAAACTAATAGTCACATTATAACATTTTTAATGCATTAAAAGTGTAATGTAAGAAATCTAATCTTTAAGGATATAAAATAAAAATTATTAAATTTTTTGGGGTACAAAATGAGATTTTTCTCCTAAGGACTTTGCCGAACGGGGATGTACTTCTTGCAGGTATGTCACAGACATGGAGTGATACATCGAGACCTAAAACCCGAGAACTTTTTATATGCCAACACCAGTGACAACGCTCCATTAAAGGCAATTGATTTTGGCCTCTCCATATTCTTCGAGCCTGGTATGCCTCCAAATTCAATTCCATTTAGCTTGTAATGTCTGATTTCTTATAAGTTGCAAAACTAGCCTCGTTCTGATCTATGCTAGATTGTTGGGATCGATCTTAACATTACTTATAATTTTGATTATAATTTTACCAATATTAGTTATAATTTTTAATACGATACCATGCATACTTCTTCCCCGAGAATGAAGTATAATTAATTGTGTTTAATTGGATGGTAGGTCAGCGTTTTGGTGAAATTGTTGGAAGCCCATATTACATGGCCCCAGAAGTACTTAGACGAAATTATGGGGCAGAAATAGATATATGGAGTGCAGGTGTTATTCTTTACATCTTACTATGTGGAGTTCCTCCTTTTTGGGCAGGTAAATTTCCTTCTTTCACTCGAATTTATGAAGGACTAGGGGTAACCTAATGGTTTTGATAGAAATATTGGTGGTCCTTGGATGAGTATATTTAAAGACTGTCGAATGAACATATTAAAATTTGTCATGTTTTATATTATAGATTTCTTCAACTCTCATTCAAGTATATTCATTAAAAGTGATTACATTGATCAATATCGACAACTAATAACTGAAGCATATTTATTGGTTGCAATTTTCCATTATTTTTTGCGTTTATCGACATACTTAGAAAAATAGATTACTGTCATGAAAAATCAAGAAGGAAAGTAAGCCTAACATTACGACCTCGCAACCTAAAAACTTTAAGTTATCAGGTGGAGAATTGCACAAGACCTGAAACCCCCGACCAAGCTATTAGACTTCTTATTTTATACTATAGAGTAATAATGTAATTATCCACATTAGTTTGTTATAAATAAGAGTGTACGAGTTGATAACATAGCCTACACTGATTATTCATCTCCCTTTCTTCTCCTCCTTTCAACCCTTAGGATTTATTACTTTAACTTGGTATCAGACCATTGCTCCAACAAAGTTACAAGAGCAACGAAACAA